TGACTTTGGTCTTAACTTACCAGGAAAATATGGTTTTAACCATGGAAAGCACAGACACCCAAAAGGTCGAATTTTGGCGTAATTAGGTTCTCTGTTGAACAACTTTTTGTACGGGGAGGAATTATGTAGAATGGGAGTAGGCATACGGTTGATTAAATACACCGCTGTTTGGAAGGCATACGACCAGTACACTGATGGCATAGACGCAAAGTGTAAGAGCGCCATACCACTTTCCACTATGTGTCTGTGTCGCCTCTCCGCAGAACCGTTGTGTTCCGGGGTATGGGGAGGTGACGTAAAGTGTGAAATCCCCATACTATTGAATGTTGGAACCAACCTGGTGTATTCACCTCCATTATCTGAAAAGACAGAGATTATCATGTGGCCAAAATAATTTTCGACCATGGACTTAAACTGCACAAACACTTTATGGACATCAGACTTGAGTTTTAATGGATACAACCAGACATACTTTGTGAAGTGGTCTATAAAACTAACATAATACTTAAAAGCATCAACAGAGACCGTTGACGAACTCCAAACATCTGTATATATAAGTCCTAACGGCTTAGAGCTGGTCATAGAGTTAAACGAAAATGGCAATTTATGAGTTTTATTTACGTGACACGAAGTACATGAAAACATCTCGAGTGCACGACGATCAAAGTGCACATTATTACTCTTGAGAATGGAAGCCAGAACTTTGTGGCTGGGATGACCATGCTGATGATGCAACTTAGAAACTGAGGTTGTGGTATTAACTTGACATTTCTGAGCTGGAATGCTATAAACGTCATTCATGACCGGACTGCGAACTAGGGGTGTGCCCGACACTCGATCCTTAATAAAAAAATATGAATCAAAAAATTCAACCGAAACTGAGTTAGTCTTGAAGAGTTTAGAAACAGAGACCAATTTTTTTTGCAAATTTGGAACGCATAAGACATCTAATAAAAGAAGTGAACGGTTCGCATAGGGAAGAGAAACTGACCCAGTATGAGATATACGCAAGGACTTACCATCTCCCAGAATAATTTCATCTGGACCTGTGTACTCTGAAAGGTTATGCAGGGACATAGGGTCATTAACCGTATGATGTGAGGCCCCTCAGTCCATGAGCCACGACTGAGACGGTGTGGATCTAGTGGCAGTAGTGTGCACCGTAGGTGACTGGTGACCACTGCCTTGGGGTTCAACAAAGACCACGTTGTTTTCTTTCAAGAATTTGGCCAGCTTGCGACAATATTTTGTGTCATGTCCGGGGTAATCGCAGTAATTGCAGTACCGATTTGAACGGTTTCCAGTTTGTCGCGCATAGCCTTGTCGCCCACTAGAGTTTGCACCACCGCGACCACGGCGAGTACTTGAATGGAACATAGAGTCTGTTGCACCATTAGAGCGTCGTTGCGTGGCATTGGCCGTGGGCACGTGAACCTGAGACGCTGCGTCGTTGTCTTGAAGCAGGCGTTCATAGTCCGTAAGAACATCATGCAGTTCTCCAAATGAGATGGCCTCACTTCGGACACGGAGCGCCGCCACAACCGGATTGTAGTCGTCACCTAATTGAGTGAATATGTGAACGCCCAGATCCTCTTCACTTACCGAACTTTGGGCAAGTGCCAGATCATCCGCAATAGTCCGCATCTCTCGCTTGTATGAATCAACGGACCGGTTACCTCTGGGTCGGATTCTTCGCAAGTTTTGCTTTCAGTGAAACAATTCGTCCCCTGGAGGAAGCGGCACAGGTAGTGGATAACCAGATCCAGGTATCACGCGCAGAGGATGCTGACGAAACCACAGGTTGGAGTGTGTCTGTCAAGCTGCCTAGGATCGCACTCTGAATGATTTGATCCTGTCGATACCATGCCGTGTAAGCCGGAGCTGATATGGTGCCGTCATTTGATCCTGTCGATACCATGCCGTGTAGGCCGGAGCTGATATGGTGCCGAGGTTGGAGTGTGTCTGTCAAGCTGCCTAGGATCGCACTCTAAATGATTTGATCCTGTCGATACCATGTCATGTAGGCCGGAGCTGATATGGTGCCGTCATTTGATCCTGTCGATACCATGCCGTGTAGGCCGGAGCTGATATGGTGCCGTTAACGTAGCCCACGAGGTCTAGGCCGGTCAGCATGGACTCCACCTGTTTCCTCCAAATGGGAAAGTTGGAGTTGGTAAGTTTGATCGGCAGGTGAGATGGGGCATATATTTGAACGATGCTGGTTTGGGTTGTGACAGCCATGAGAGAACGAGGAAGGGGAAAGGGAAAAGTAAAAAAAAAAAACTCTCGTTAGAGCAGTGGCTCTGAAACCATGTGAGAGTGGCAAAAATGAACATTGCAATTCATTAACAAAGAAGAGGAATAAATAGCCAACATCCCACACAACCAGGGAGCTAGTTAAACAGAGCCCAAAGACTAGGTAAACAATAACAACTATTAACTAAGTCTCAATACTGATTGGGTAAACATTATATTCATACATTATTGTTTCTAATAAATTGCCACCAGTAACAATCTAACTATTTGATTGGGTGTCTCTTCAAAGCACATTTGTAAGTCTTCATCAATTGCTATTCGAATATGTACCCATCCCCGCACTTATAGAAGAACTTAAGGAGCATCTCTTTTAACTGCGGCCTTCTTCTCAAGACTTCAGCTTTGACTTCAGCTTTCAATTTGTTCATGTCTGGAAGAGCTAGATTCACCTTAAAAAAAATTTGACCCATATGTTCCACTTCGATAATCATGTTGCTCGAACCCGAGGCCGGAATCATCAAAGGTTCGACTTTGATAACCGTGTTGCTCATCGGAGGTTCGACTTTGATCACCGTGTTGCTCATCGGAGGTTCGACTTTGATCACCGTGTTGCTCATCGGAGGTTCGACTTTGATAACCGTGTTGCTCATCGGAGGTTCGACTTTGATAACCGTGGGCGTGTTGCTCGGACCCGCCGCCTCATCAGCGGTGGAGGCAGGAATCGGAGACATGCCACCCCCGCCAAGAACAGTCGGACGATTCCCCATGCTGCCGGAGGAATAGTAAGCGGTGGGAGGAGCCTGAGGATTTCCCATGCCGCCGGGGGAGTAGTAAACGATGGGAGGAGCATGAGGATTCCCCATGCCGCCGGGGGAGTAGTAAACGGTGGGAGGAGCATGAGGATTCCCCATGCCGCCGGAGGAGTAGTAAGCGGTGAGAGGAGCCTGAGGATTCCCCAAGCCGCCGGGGGAGTAATAAGTGGTGGGAGGAACCGTAATTGGTGGATTCCCTATGCCGCCGCGGGGGGGACGAACCAGATTCCTCACCGTGGAAATTCCGGCACCGGCAGTAATCGGACGAACCCCGCTGAGTAGTAGGCGGCCATAGGGGGTGTCGCATCAACACCGTCTTTATCATTATACATCATCACCAAGTTTTCTGGTGATGAGTGATAGCAGATCTGTTTATTTATCCAATGAGAATAACCTCCCTTTAACAAACTAGACTTCTAGTGCTGAACGGATTTGGTAAAAGTATAGTTACGGCACAAGGAGCTTGAGAGGATGATAAAGGTTAGTATGGCATATTAGGACTCTATATTTGTGTTAGAGGATGATAAAGGTTAGTATGGTCGATCCGACTTCGAACGGAGATTGCTCCTTCGTTTATCGCCTCCAGAAGGTCCGGAGTGGTTGATGTTCGAACTGGTCCGGAGTGGTTGATGTTCGAACTTCGCTCCTTCGAACTGCTACCGCCGGATTTGCCTTCTCCGAACTGCTGCCCTAATTTAAATAGTGTATTAAAACATTTAAATTTTTTGTCTAATTGCCAATAACTTTATGATTTAGTGGTACCAAGTTGCTATAAGAAGGCTTACATGACAGGCTCGACCAAGAGTTGCAATTTCCTCGGCTTCAGTGGCACCTGCTGCGAGTAAGTGTGTTTTTTTTTGGCATGTAATTTGTAATGTAAGTAATGAGATGATGCTGACAGTTTTTTCTTTTATAAATGAATTGTTCATTGCCAGAATATTTTCAAAATAAATTGGTGGAGACCATACAATTCTCGGAAATTCTTAATTTGAAAGAACAGTGTTGAAAAAGACACTTTCTTTCGTAAACTTCCAAATTTAATTGACATACCAAACACAAGCACACTTCAGTAAACATTTTTCTAGTGGTTAATGAATCCAAATGAAAAATTAAACTTAAAAATTAGCTCTGCCATAATTAACACTCGTACTCAAACTATTACTAAATTTCAAAATACATAAACCTAAGAAATCATCATTATCTACAAACGTTTACAAAAAAAAAACAAAAAAACAAAAAAAAAACAAAAAAAAACTAATAATAATAATAAATACAAGGAGCAGTGCAATGATGGAGAACCACAACTGTAAGAAGAAATTAATTAATGATATAGTTAACATAAAATCTTGTACTTTCATGCACTAAGACCCTATTGAAACTAATTAAAGCAACTAATCACCCACTAATTAAGGTTATCCAACGTTTTTCAGAATAACACAAATTTTCATCCGAGTAAAATAAAAAGAGCATACGTTTCCAAACATTTTATCAACAAATCAAATCATACCAAGAACAAATCAAATCACATTAATTCCCTGCTTTCAAAAAAAAAAAAATCACATTAATTCTCAGAGAAGTAAACATTCATACATTATTGTTTCTAATAAATTCAAAATAAATAAAAAGATCATATGTTTCTAAACATTTTATCAGCAAATCAAATCATACCAGGACAAATCACCGATTAATTCTCAGGAGTAAACATTCATACGTTATTGTTTCTAGGTATAAGAGTCAAATAGAACCACTATAGATAAAAGTGCAATTAAGCCCTCGAGACCCTTCCAACTTGAACTTATTTCTTTTTTTGCTCCGCCAGAATTCTTACCTGGAGGGCTTATTTGACTCAAAATAAAAGTTTTTAATTGTACTTTTAAAAAATTGAAGAGACTAATTGCATTTTTTAATCTATTTGACCCTTATCCTTTGTTTCTAATAAATTGCCACTAGTAACAATCTAACTACTTGATTGAGTGTCTCTTCAAAGCACAATTGTAAGTCTTCATCACATGCTATTAAAACCATGTTCCCATTCTCGTCCTTATACAGGAACTTAAGGAACATATCTTTTAAGTACGGCCTTCTTCTCAAGACTGCAGCTTTCAATTCCTTCAAAACTGGAAAAGCCAGATTGACCTTCAAAAAAATTTGACCCATATGTTCGATTTGGATAATCGTGTTCCTCGGACCCACCTCATCAATGGTGGAGGCAGGAATCATCGGAGGTGGTTCAACTTTGATAACCGTAGACGTATTGCTCGGACCCGCCGCCTCATCAGCGGTGGAGGCCGGAATCGGAGGCATACCAGCCGCGCCAGGAACAGTCGGACGATTCCTCATGCTGCCGGAGGAGTAGTAAGCGGTGGGAGGAGCCTGAGGATTTCCCATGCCGCCGGAAGGGTAGTAAGCGGTGGGAGGAGCCTGAGGATTCCCCATGCCGCCGGAGGAGTAGCGGTAAGCGGTGGGAGGAGCCTGAAGATTTCCCATGCCGCCAGGGGAGTAGTAAGCGGTGGGAGGAGCCTGAGGATTTCCCATGCCGCCGGGGGAGTAGTAAGCGGTGGGAGGAGCCTGAGGATTTCCCATGCCGCCGGGGGAGTAGTAAGGGGTGGGAAAAGCCTGAGGATTCCCCATGCCGCCGGAGGAGTAGAAAGCGGTGAGAGGAACCTGAGGATTCCCCAAGCCGCCGGGGAAGTAATGAGCGGTGGGAGGAAATATGCTGCAGCCGGGAGGAAGCATGCCGCCGCCGCCGATAGAATAGTAGGCGCCCATAGGGGGCGTCGCATCAACACCGTCTTTATCATTATCCATCATTATCACCAACAAGTTTTCTGGTGATGAGTGATAGCAGATCTGTTTATTTATACAATGAGAATAACCTCCCTTAACAAACTAGACTTCTAGCGCTGAACGGATTTGGTAAAAGTAGAGTTACGGCACAAGGAGCTTGAGAGGATGATAAAGGTTAGTGACTCTATATTTGTGGTAGACTATATATATATACTAGTTTTTTAAGCGCATTGCGCGATTGAGATAATGCCCAATATTTTTTTTAATAAGTACTTTAAAGTATATCAAGGCAGGATTATATTAGTATTAGTCATGCATAAATAATTGAATAGGTAATTCTAAGTTTACAAATGCAAGATAATATAATCAAGATTGATTATAATTGTCAATAAAATAATTGTATAGGTATGGTTGAAACCAAATACGGGACATAAGGGAGAACAAATAAAAATTAGGGCATAAAATTTTAAATATATACTAATATTGAAGAGCTAATTGTTGATTGTCAAACAAGGACATTGCGGGGTAGTTTTCCACTTCAATTTGTTGTGTAATTTGAATACTCTTTTTGTAAATAAATCTCCCAAGTAGTTAATATGATTGGCTTAATTTTTTTTATTTTTTAAAACAATTATTATTATTATTATTATTATTATTATTATTATTATTATTATTATTATTATTATTATTATTATTATTATTATGTATACCCTATGTCATTTTACATGTTAATCTAAAAAGCTAATTTTTTCAAATATCTTTTTACCCACCGTTGATATAATTCGCTGGTCAAATAAGCTAATATAATCCGCTAACGCTAACCGCTAACACTACTGATTGTCAAACAAGAACATTACGAGATAGTTCTCACTTCAATTTGTTATGTAATTTGAATACTCTATTTGTCAACAAATTTCTCAAGTAGTTAATATTATTAACTTTATTAATTATATTTTTCTTAATTTTTTCATGGTATTAATAAAATACTTGATAAATAAATATAAAACATTATTTTGTATTATAACTTTGATATTTAATTAAAAAAATAGTGTACAAAAAAAGATAATAGACAATGTAGTGAATATAATCAATTGATGAATTTGAATGTAAAGAATTTTTAAATTGGAGAGAAATAAAGATAATATAATATAATAAAATTATTTCTCTTAATTAATTTATTGATAATGAATAATTTTTTTTTTAATAAAGATATTGTAGGGACAATGTAGCGAATATAATCAATTGATGAATTTGAATGTAAAGAATTTTTATATTGGAGAAAAATAAAGACAATATAACTAATGAAAATTATTTCTCTTATTTAATTTATTGATAATAAATAAATTTTTTGAATAAAAACATTGTAGATACATAATTCTAAATTAAAGATCGAAATGCATATGTATTATTTATTGTTGTAACTACTAAATTATTATTTAATTTAATAAAAGTAAAATAAAGTATTAAATATGCCAACTTTGATTGGGATGGGGTTCGAACTTCGAATTTAAGACCTTTCTTATTGAAATCAATGAATAAGTTAACGGTGAACTAACAGAAATTAACGGAAAAGGTAATATTTAACGGAAAAGTTAACGGAAAATCATATTCATTAAGGATAAATTAGTAAATATTAAGAAAAAAATTAAAATCTGATCAATCTGAGCCAAGTTAACGGTGAACTAACAGAAATTAACGGAAAAGGTAATATTTAACGGAAAAGTTAACGGAAAATCATATTCATTAAGGATAAATTAGTAAATATTAAGAAAAAAATTAAAATCTGATCAATCTGAGCCATTCATTTGATTAAAATCTGTGACGGACACATTTTCTACCCATTTTAGGCCTAACTCTCTTGGGCTCTTATTAGTATAGTAGATATATATATTATAGTATAATCTCACTAAGTAGTTTGTGGTCCACTGGTATTGGATTGCTTCTTTTATGTGGGAGGTCTAGGTTTTGAGCTTCAGTCTAGGTATGTCGTGTAAGGTTAAATATTAAAATTTTATTTTTAAAAGTCTATAAAAATCACTGAAATTCTAAATTGAATACATCCTTAGGAGATCCCCAATAAGGGATCTTCACCACATTTTAGAATAGTAAAATCTCTTGGGGTAGATTTTAACAAATGGGATGAGAAGATTTTGAGGAAATTTTCCTTCTGCAAATCTAAGGATTTTGTCAGTAAAAAAAAAAACAAAAAAAAAATATTAAAATTGCAGCTTTTTCAGAGTGGCCAGTGGGCCACTCTGAAATTAATTGCATTGGCTGTTGCCAATTGGCAACGGCCAATTTTCCGGCCCAAATTCTGTGCCCTTGCCATTGCAACGACACACCTTCTCTTCTTTTTTTTTTTTAAATTTATTATTATTATTATTATTATTATTATTATTATTATTATTATTATCACATCTTTCATAAATTTTAACACATTTTAATCTACTCCTAATTTATTTTTATATTTCTCTCAATTTATTTTGTAGTTTAATTTTTAAGTAATTATTTGTTTAATTTTCATTCTATAACTATCGTATTAATTAATTAGACGTACTATGTTTATTTTAATTAAGTTTGGAAATGAAATTTTTAAGTAATTATTTGTTTAATTTTCATATTTAGGTATGTTCATTCATTTATGTTTATTATAAAATTATAAATATATAAAATAAATAATTAAAATATGGAGATAAAATGGTGGGTCCACAAAAAGTTGTGAAAAACTTAAAACTAATGGGAAGAAGAGATTTTGTGATTGAGTGAGATAGTGGATGATGAGGTGGATGTTGGGGCCCACAAAAATCTGGGGTAAAATCCCCAACTATTGAGGATGCCCTTAGAGCATCTACATCAGAGGATAAATAGGGGAGAATTCACTACTTTTGAGGTCAAAATGCCATGGTGGCAGAGAGAGAATCAAGAGAGAGAAGGGGTGGGGAGCATCTGCAAATGTTGGGATATTACTCTGCCCAAGAAAAAGAATTAATGATGGAGGAAAGAGAACCGATAAAGAAATGACATGCTTATTTTTTATTTTATTTTTTTATAAAATCAATTTTGATTTTTTTTCCCTCCCCTCTCACATTATTCTCTTTCCTACTCACTCTTATATTCTCACCTTAATATTTCAAACTGATAAGGATGCTCTTACAAACCTTCAATGATTTCGATTCTTATCATTTATATTTTTCTTACAAAACATGTTATAATATATTATTTAATTCTTCTTATTATATGGTTTTTCACTCACATCAACATTTTCAATATTATTATTTTATCCATAATATATCAAGACTTATATGCTAATATACTTATATATATTATTAATAAGCATAAAAAAAAAAAAAAAAAAACTATTTCATTAGAAACACATAACAACATTGAACACTAAAATTTATAATAAAAGAGTTGATCAGATAAAATAGGATTAATATTTGATGCACCATCGGGATATAGATGCTATACACCGGTGGTGAAAGAGAAGATGCCACATCATTAAAAAGAAATGTCAATATTAATCGGGTCCTGTTTCGCAAAATATTTAAGACTTTATTTTATTAGAAAGCTATTTATTGTTAATTAACAAAATATATCTATTTTCCTAAACATATTTATTACTTCGTACTTAATTATTATCTATATTGTTAATTAAATTGACAAGTGGTGATAAATATATATTAATCACAGGGTGATGGATGAAGGAATAATAAAAATAATTTTAAAACTTATTATTAAGTGCTTAATCCATTATATCTCAACCTCATTTTTTATTATTCTAATTATTGACTACAAACAAGATTGAGATGTATTTATCACTCTAAATATATTGACTACAAACAAGGCTGAGATATAATTATTGTCAATAAAAGTTTTATAATTAATCACACAGTGATGAATGGGAATTAAAGTTGCCAAACATTAATTTTGTTTAAATCTCTTAATTAACATTAAATTAGTATAGTTATATGATAATGATAATAATAATATAAAAAATCAACACTTAATAAAATATTATGTAATATTCAAATTATATTTTAAAACTTATTCAAAAGTTGAAATGTAATACTCCACACAACAATATCTAATAACGTAAAAAAAAATATCAAATTTGCAAACTAGTGTTGTTAATGACTTAATGTTAATCTCTCAATAATAAGTTTTTAACGTAAAAAATCAAATTTTTAATAAGTTTAAAAATTAATGTTATTACTACTTCCTTCATCACCGTGTGATTAATATATATTTATCACCATTTGTCAATTTAATTAATAATGTATCAAATAAAAATGTTTAGGAAATTAGATAGATAATAATTAAGTAATAAATATATTTAGGAAAGTATATATATTTTGTTAATTAAAAATAAAGAGTTTCTTAATAAAATATAAGTCTTAAATGTTTGGCAAAAAATGACTTGACCAATATTGACTTTCTTTTTTAGTGATATAGCATTTCTCCTTCACCGCCAGTGTATAGAATCTATAATCGACGGTGCATCAAATATTAATCCAATAAAATATTTAAAAATATAATTACAAGTTGCATAAAACAAAAATAAAATGTAATATTAATAGTATATATAGAAAATTATACTTGATATATTGCTAGGTATCAAGCAAAAAATTATTATTATAATAGTAATTTGATACTGCGAACAGCAACAATGTGCTACTATTTGCAACCACAAATTATTGTTGCAAACAATAATTCGCTTTTCGTAGTAACCTGTTGTTAAAAAAACAGAAAAAATATTTTACAAATATAAATATAAAAATAATAAAAATCAAAATATATAAGTATTTATATGAATATTATGAAACATATAGTACAATTTAACGATGATATACGCAAATTTTGGTTTGTTCATGTATATTTAGGAAGAATTACAGAAAGTTTAGAAGTTACCGAGAAAAGTTATTTGAGAAAGTTTAGAAATCTTGGGGTTGGTGGTTGGATTTAACTATTTATATTTGATAAAGAAAAGTCTACAAAAGTCCTAAAAAGTCTTAATCGAATAC